ATGAAAATGAATGGGAAAAATACTTAAGCCCTGCCTTAAATGATACGGACCCAATCATACATTACAGGGTGTCCGCGGGTCCTTAAAAAGTCTTAAAATGTCTTAAATAACGTTTTCCTATAAAAGGCCTTAAAAAGTCTTAAAATGTCTTAAATTCAGATTCGATGGGTCTTAAATATTTTTGGTCACATTACCGCTAAAATATCTCAAGTCTGACGGACCTAATGACTGTTTAAGTCAGTGGTTCCCAACCCTGGTCCTGGAGGCACCCCAACACTGCACATTTTGCATGTCTCCTTTCTCTGACACACCAATTTCAGGTCTTGAAGTCTCTACTACTGAGCTGATGATCTGAATCAGGTGTGTTTGATTAAGGAGACACGCAAAACGTGCAGTGTTGAGGTGCCTCCAGGACCAGGGTTGGGAACCACTGGTTTAAGTAACATACCATGACAAGTGAGCTATTTTGCTGAATATTCTCACGATGCAAAAAGCATTCAAAACACCCACAGAGTGCACGCATTACGTGAAGTCTAGACTAGTGTGTGTGCATTTAGAGTGTGTTCTTTCACTGCATGATTCAGTCTATTAAAATAAATTTACAATGATCACAAAATTCAAGACATGGAGGCAGAAAATGTATATATTTATACCACTTCATATAGTTAATCAATTTCACATGAAGATTGACGTTTTTTTCTCCAAAAATTACCATGATTACAAATGTGACATTGATATATATATATATATATATATATTTTTACAACAGTTCAATAAACTAGATGTTAATTAAGAGACTTACGTTTTAGACACCATATTGCCTGTTTTTGCATTATTTCGACAACAAAAATAATTCCAAACAGCCACAGCGCTGTTTTGCGTCTCTGCGCAACATGATGGTGTTTCATTCCTGAATGAATCAACTGTTTAAATGATTCGGTTCAATCGCAATGACTCATTTATTAACAGTGACTTGCTGCCACCTACTGGTGGTTTTAATTTCACATTTAAAGTACCTTTTTATTGTTTAAATAATTTCAAATAACAGTATTCAACGTTTTATGTTTAATATATAAAAACATTATTTATGCATTTGTAAAAATAGGCCTTTGTAAAGGTAAATACAAATATGCAGATTTAAGTATGTAAAAGCTGATAGAACACTGATGAAAGTATTGCTTTAGAATAAATTGTTTACACCACCAAAAATCTTGGTGATGAGATGCTTTTGTGGGGATATTTTGCATGGAATATGGTCTGCTGATATGAAAAGTTCACTGTATATCTTAATACAGTGTACAATACAAATATAATTTATTACAGCGATGATATTTTGTTTTCTTTTTATGTTAAACACATTAAATATTACACATACTGTATGTATGTAATATAATGTGTATTTCCATTACAGGTTTAGGACTTAAATTTCATATAAGGTGGTATTAAAAAGGTCTTAAATTTTACTTGTTCATGTCTGTAGACACCCAGCATTAGTCTTGCAAGTCCAAAATGTTTAGCAAAACTCATATTATGATGATCACATTTTGTTGTTTTGTGTTGCGTGCATTTCTCACTGGTGGTGTCTTTTTGTCCTGTGTCTGCAGATCTCTTGCACGCTCCTCCTCCTCATCTTCCGTCTCACGTTCCAGGTCATCTTCGTCACATCCTGGTCGTTCAACCAGCCAATCCCGAGACATTTTTCCTAAAGCCCGCTTCCCGCTGCCTCAGGCTGGACCTCCTGCTTTCTCTTTCATCATTGGCGGGCGGCAGATGGGGCGACGCTGTCAGGGACGGCGCTTCCAGACGAGCTTTACTCCAACTCCACCTCTTACTACCCACCCACCTCGTGCTTATGCCCACAAGCTACCGGTCATAGGGAGAGTCAGCAAACCTGTGCGCCGCTGGACGTGTTCCCATTACTCACTTCACCTGCCGCTTTAAAATCCATGGACGATGTATGTGACGTTTAGAGACACATGATCACAGTGACATCTCATCAAATGGCTGCATCTGAGTAATTACAGATGAACAATTCTATATACTTTATGCAAACAAGGCAAGTTGTATTGTGAGGAAATTATTTTGAATCTATATCCAGGATTTCTAGGCTATAGCTCTACTGATTCTGATCTACTGATCAACTTTGAATTCTCGTATAGTTATTTCTGTTTGTATTGCAGATAGTATAATAGAACCTGTCACCAAATAGAGTTTATTTTTAAAGTACTTACAGCAGGATGAAGCCGAACAGATTATTCTATACAAATGCCTTGTTTATTAGAGTATTTATGTATGAGTAAATGTCCTTTTTTTTTTTTTTTTACATGTTTTTTTTATTTTTTTGTAATGATGTGGGCCTGTATAAATAAATACATTATGTAATGTACTCGTGTGATACTTTATTATTTTGTATTTAAACTGCCCAGTCTGTTTATAATGCCAATGATTTTAATTTTTCTTAGGCCCGGTATAATAAGCTTCATGTAAAATCTAAACAGTCCCATCATGACCCCCTTTAATTAATTTACCAAAAACAGTGCTTAATGCATTACTCTAAATGAGTTGTTAAAATTCGTTTTATTTTTTCAATTTTGCACCCTGTTTTGTCCCACTTCTCAAGAATGACTGAAACACAAAAAGTTCTTTAAAAATCGCCGCCCCAGTTACTAATATTGTAATTGTCTAATATTCTGATTATTTAACTTTTGGAGCAATACAGCTCAATATCTGCTGAGAGGCTGTCTAATATCATATGTTGATTGTAAAAGAAGCAAGTGACACTACTGTTGTTTACGGCCGAGAAGCAAATATAAAGTTTATTGCACCATTTTGTTTATCTGTTTGTCTCCCTGTCTGTTTGTTTAGATCTATTAATCCTATAGTTCTTTCAGAGTAACCTACAGCTATGTATTTAAGTCTGCACACTCAAAATATTTATTTATTTATTTATAATTTGGATTAAGCATAGCTTATTTATTACAGTCAACAAACCAAATGCTCTGTTACTGAAGCCTGATTTGTTCACGTTTGTGTAGCTGCACAAACCAATGGCGCTTTAGCCCTGGCGGAGCTGACGTGTAGCCTATATAAGGGGCCGTTCACATGTCGCGCCTAAAAACGCGTGGAAAACACTAGGCGCGCCGCTTTCTGCTTTTTTCAAAAGCATTTGGGCGCTTGCGCTCCGGAGGCGTCTGCCGTTGCTAAGCAAGCAACCATGACCTGCGCTCTCCTTGAAGACGCGGAAGTTTCAGCAAAGGATAAATGGATTTGCAGCACTAAAAATCGCTTGCAGTAGTTCTGCTACTAAATTTATTTAAAAATGGCTATCTGTACAGCTATGATCAGCTGTTGCTTCAATCTTGGCTGAGCTTTCAATGTTGTTACGGAAAGGATGAAGCTGATTGGTTGGTTCTTGTCACATGACCTGCGGTGCGCTTGCGGCATTCTGAAAAGTTGAAATGTTTTTATCTCGATGCGGTGCGGATGCGCCTGGAAAAAATGGGCGCGTCGCACTGCGTGCATTGGTTTGCGCTTACATTATGAGCGTGCCTGCCACGCGTCTACATTTGAAATAACAAACTTGAGCACGCAAAAGACGCGATATGTGAACGGCCCCTTAGTTGGCTCACAGTGCCATTTCATCAAAATCTTCTCCTTCTGCGATGAGAATCATCTCTTTGCTGACTCTGCAAGAAGACGGAAAAAAGCTCAACCCGCTCACCGCCGTTGAAGAGCCCCCGGCAGAGGACGAGTCTCCCCTGAGGCCATCCGGCACTTTCTAAAAGAGCAAATTAGAGCAAATTTCCAGCGTGCGTTGTTGCAAATGTCGTGCCGCGAGTGCAGGCGACACACTCACTGTACCTGTCTGACTCGTGCAAGGACTCCTAGCACGAGTTATACGGGCACAGCGAGTGTGCCTGGGCAGCGCCCACACAGAGGCTGCGCTCGCTGACGGCTCATGTTCACATTACGAGGATATGAGTCTGTCCAGTCTTCGCTCGCGTATCTTTGGGCTCTGCTCTCCCGTTTCCTTTCTCTCCTAAGAGGAAGAAACAGCGGAGCAGCGGCTCTCTCTCAATGGGTGCAAGCCTACCAATATACAGTCCTACCATTTGGACTGTCTCTGCCCCCTTACACTTTTATGAAGTGCATAGACGCAGCTCTTTCCCCTCAGAAGCAGATGGAAATCTGCATACTCAACTACCTCGACGACTGGCTGATCCTGGCCAGATCAGAACGGGAATTAGTCGCTCACAGAGCGCTGTTACTCAGCCACTTGGGAGCGCCTCGGGTTGAACATCAACCTTCTGAAGAGTCATTTGTTCCCCAGACAGCGAGTGGTCTTACTGGGGACAATTTTGGACTCTGCCCAGATGCGGGCTTGGGTCACGCCGGAATGGTCCCTGACTATTCAGCGACTGGTGGCGTCCCTAAAACCAGGAACGTCTCGTCTCCTCAATGTTTTCCAGAGGCTGCTCGGCCTCATGGCAGCCACCTCCGCTGCGATTCCCTTGGGCCTGCTTCACATGCAGCCTCTCCAATTTTGGCTCAAAGCCAGAGTCCCGCCCCACACTTGGTGCCTGGGCCGCTTTTATATCAAGGTAAACCATCGCTGTATCAACGCTGTGGCCCCTTGGACAACTTCACGCCTGTTTCAGTCAGGCGTACGGTTGGGACTGACCTCCAAGAGGAAGGTGGTTACGACAGATGCTTCCAACTTAGGTTGGGAAGCTCTGCTGGAGGGCAATCCGGCATCCGGCGCCTGCATATAAACTGTCTAGAGCTCCTAGCAGTTTTTCTGGCCCCGAAAACCTTCCTGCCGGCCATACGCGGGCACCATGTCCTGGTCCATTCGAAAAACATGACAGTGGTAGAATACATCAATCGCCAAGGCGGTCTGAGGTCTCACTCCCTTTACAGGTTGGCTTGACACTTCCTATTCTGGGCACAGAACGAACTCCTTTCTCTAAAAGCGGTTCACGTGCCGGGCAGTCTGAACCATGGCGCAGTCCAGAGGCAATGTGACTCCAGGAGAATGGGGACCCTACATCCTCATACGGTTCAAGAAATTTGATCTGTCTTCGGGAAGGCAGAGGTAGACCTCTTCGCCTCAGAAGACACCTCTCACTCCCCAACTTATTTCTCGATGCAGCGAGATGCTCTGGCCCACGATTGGCCCAGTGCTCACCTGTACACCTTCCCCCCCCAATAGCCCTGCTTCCTCAGGTCATCAAACAGGTCAGGGAGAAGAAATTCTTAGTTCTCTTGGTGGCCCCACACTGGAGGAACCAGGCTTGGTTCCCCGAGTTAGTGCAGCTCTCAGTAGCTGCCCGTGGCCGATACCACTGAGATTAGATCTTCTCTCGCAGGCGAAAGGCATGATTTGGCATCCCCGGCCAGAGCTGTGGAGCCTTCATGTATGGAGCCTCGACGGGAGTCTCTACGCAGCTCCCAGCGAGAATAAATAATACCATTTTAGAGGCTAGAGCACCGTCTACAGGACGCCTTTACACCCTTAAATGGTCAGTCTTTCGTGACTGGTGTACTGCACGGAGCCTGGACCCAGTATCTTGTGACATGTCCCACGTGCTTTCCTTTCTACAAGAGTTGCTGGACAAGTTCCACACTCCACACTCCACACTTCCACACTCAAAGTTTACGTGGCAGCTATTGCAGCGAATCATTCCCTCGAAGCTGGCCATTCGATCGGCAAAGTTTGTTGTCTGATCGTTAAGTTCTTGAAGGGCGCCTGGAGATTAAATCCTCCTCGTCCTCAGACTGTACCAATCTGGGACTTGTCAATAGTCCTTAGGGCCCTACGGGGTCCTCCGTTTGAGCCACTACATTCGGCCGAACTATGCCATTTGTCACTGAAGCATAGTGCCTCTGCTTCTGGCACTAGCATCGGTCAAGAGAGTGGGTGACTTACAAGCACTGTCAATCAGTGCTTCCTGTCTGGAGTTTGGGCCTAGTGACTGTAAAGCTGTCCTCAAGCCTAGACATGGATACGTTCCAAAGGTGTTCTCAACTCCGTTCAGAGCCCAAGTTATTACCCTGCTGGCGCTCCCCGCTGCAGATGGTGAGCAGGTTATCTGCCCTGTCAGGGCCCTGAGAATATATCTTGAACACTCCAGCCTGTTCAGACAGTCGGAGCAGCTTTTCGTTTTCTTTGGAGGTCGCTCTAAGGGGTTGCCGGTTACAAAGCAAAGACTGTCCCGCTGGATAATTGATGCTATAGCCTTGGCTTATGCCTCAGAAGGTTTGCAATGCCCCATAGGTGGGAGGGCCCACTCCACTAGAGGAATGGCCTCCTCCTAGGCTTGGTCCAGCGGAATCTCTATTGGTGAGATATGTGCGGCCGCCGGCTGGTCGTCGCCGTCCACGTTTGCCAGATTTTACAGTCTAGATGTCCCTGCTCTCCAAGCCGTTTTATTTTAGTATCAGTGATATACTGTTATAGTTGAGATGGTGAGAAATGTTGCTTTGGCATCTAGCTGAAATATTATTTAAAATAATTTTTATTTAAATTTATTAGGATTTTTTTATTTCAAGTAACAAATACTTATTTATGGTATTATTTAACTGTAATAACCCTGCAGGTTATGGCACCACTGTGCCTCTTTCGGATGAGGGCCGTTTGTTTTGTGTTGTGTACTGTCTTGTGGGAATCCCCTTCACCCTGCTGTTGCTGTCCAGCCTCACTCATGCCCTCCTGCCCTGGGTAACACACACCCCTATTCACAACCTTCAAGTCTTCTGGGGACTGTCTCGCAACCATGCAGCGTTGCTGCACTGCAGCCTTCTGGCCTTTTGCACAGCGACATTGTTCTTTCTTCTGCCTGCTGGTGCCCTCTGCCTGCTGGAGAACGACTGGAATTACCTGGAGTCGCTATATTTTTGTTTTATCTCACTTAGCACCACAGGACTTGTTGACTATCTGCCCGGCAGGACACAAAGCCGAGCAGCACGTCAGTGGCTGGAGTTTGCAACCTCCTGTAAGTTATGTATATTGTAGTGGTTGGGAGTAGAGATATACCCAAGCCTTATTAAGCTTTTAGTTAGTTAGTTAGTCAAATGAATTGAAAAAAGTGATGGAGATTATTAGAAAGTTGTATTTTCAAACTTTGAAATTTTATTTAGAGACCATATTGACTTAAATTTACTTTACTTGGTCTTAAAAGTCTTAAATTTACTTTTTTATAAAACCTTAAGAAACCCTGATTTAGACCCTCTTTTTCAGGTTACCTGATGGTTGGACTGATTGTCTTGCTTGTGGTTATGGAAAGTTGCTGGGAACTGCAGCAGGTTCAAGCCATCATGCATTTTTTCGCTGGACCGCGGCAGGGTGAGCTGAAGGGGGTGGGTTTGGATGAGCTTGTGCTCAGTGGAGACATGACAGGTGCAGAGGAGGAACCTCATTACACCCTTCCTATATCCACCATCTCCCCTGCTTTCACAGACTCACCTGCCACTCCAACAATAGAGCTGCCACCAGTCTTTGACCTGACACCCATAGCAGCCACCAAAGAAAATATTCCCCCTTCACTAAAACCAGATCTGTGTCAATCCACTTCCACTTCATAACTGATACAATGGAACTGGACATTGTAAGAAGAATAAATTATATCTACGAATGAAGCTGGAAACCAGTAGGTGGCGATATCGGTTCCTTTTCTTTAATACTCTTTGGATTGTGAAGAGTCAATACAAAAGTTTATTTATTTAATCATTCATTCATTCTTTTGAACTTGTTGGATTAAGTATGCAAAACTTCATTCATTTAAACTTGTTGGATTATGCATTTCTTTTTTCTTTTAAGTATGTAGTCAATTTACTAAATGCATGATATATTTGTATTTTAGATTTTAGATTTATTGCAATCCTAATATTTAAGTCTACACATATCATATACAAATACAAAGCTTTTCTTATTTATTTATTTATTTATCAAGCAATCATATTAAATTTATATATTTTTATATTACATTCTAAACTAGATACTGATTAAAAAAAGAAACAATATTTTATAAGTAGTCAGTGTTCGGACTTGGATGGATATATATATATATATATATATATATATATATATATATATATATATATATATATTT